TTAGGTCTCTTCCTCCTTTGATATCTTTGGTTGAAATCGTAGTGTTAGATTTCTTCCTCTCCTGATATATCTGGTCGAGATCACTTTGTTAGATCTCTTCCATCTTCGACATCATCCGTCGATTTCACTGTGTTAGGTCTCTTCCTCCTTTAATATCTTTGGTTAAAATCATTGTGTTAGATTTCTTCCTCTCTTGATATATCTGGTCGAGATCGCTTTGTTAGATCTCTTTCATCTTTGATATCTTCGGTCAAGTCTGTTGTGTTAGGTCACGTCTTCCTTTGATATCTTTGGTTGAAATTGCTATGTTAGATTTCTTCCTCTCCTGATATATCTGGTCAAGATCTCTTCGTTAGATCTCTTCCATCTTCGATATCTTTGGTCTAGTCCTCTATTTTAGGTCTCTTCCTCCTTTGATATCTTTGGTTGAAATCGCTGTGTTAGATTTCTTACTCTCATGATATATCTGGTCAAGATCACTTTGTTAGATCTCTTCCATCTTCGATATCTTCGGTCGAGTCCGCTGTGTTATTTCTCTTCCTCCTTTGATATCTTTGGTTAAGATCCATGTGTTAGATTTCTTCCTCTCCTTATATATCTGGTCAAGATCGCTTTGTTATATCTCTTCCATCTTCGATATCTTTGATCGGGTCCGCTGTTTTAGGTCCCTTCCTCCTTTGATATCTTTAGCTAAAATCGTTGTGTTAGATTTCTTCCTTCCTCAATATATTTGGTCAAGATCTCTTTGTTAGATCTCTCCCATCTCCGTTATTTTTGGTTGAGTCCGCTGTGTTAGGTCTCTTCCTTCTTCGATATCTTTGGTTGAGTCTGCTGTGTTAGGTCTCTTCCATCTTCGATATCTTCGATCGAGTCTGTTGTGTTAGGTCTCTTCCTCCTTTGATATCTTTGGTTGAAATTGCTATGTTGGATTTCTTTCTCTCCTGATATATCTGGTTGAAATCGCTTTGTTAGATCTCTTCCATCTTCGATATCTTCGGTCGAGTCCGGTGTGTTATGTCTCTTCCTCTTTTGATATATTTGGTTGTAATTGTTGTGTTATATTTCATCCTTCCTTGATATATCTGGTCGAGATCGCTTTGTTAGATCTCTTCCATCTTCGATATCTTTGGTTGAGTCTGCCGTGTTAGGTCTCTTCCTTCTTCGATATCTTTAGTTAAAATCACAGTGTTAGATTTCTTCCTTCTTCCGTATTTCTAGTCGAGATCACTTTGTTAGATCCCTTCCATTTATGATAGTTTCATTTGAGATCGCTCTGTTAGGTCTCATTCATCTCTGTTGTCTTTGGGTAAAGTTACTGTGAGATTCCATCTTTTCCCAACACCTTTGATTGAGTCCGCTTTGTTAGGCCTCTTTCTTGTTAGATATCTTTGTTAGATTCCACTATAGTGGATATTTTTCTTGAGTATCTAATCTCTTTCTTGTGTATAACCTTTACCTGACGTCCAAGAGATTTACCCAGATAACCACTGTAACAAAAAAATAAAATAGAAAATGCAGAGAACCAAAAATATAATAATACCTGACTGGCTTTGGAGTGCGAATTTTTGGGTTCTTTTAGTATTTAATCTTCTTCCACCTTGAAAGTTCGAAAGGCTGGTGCCAATCTCACCTTCAGGTTGAAGGCAATCAAATAGGGGCAGTTGTTGCACCCCAAAATTTGCCCTCTTAAATTTCTTTCATTTGGGCTTATAATTTCGCATTCATCTGCATATTTCCCATTAGTTCTCTAACAGGGCATACATTTCATTCGATATAGCGCCGTGGTTCAAAGTTTAGTGGTAGTGTGATGTTAGGGTTTCGCAATGGTTAAGGCATTCGTATCCAATAAAGGCGGATTTCTTAATCAAGCAGTGAACAGTGGAATTTGGGCTGTGATCTGAGTCACCGAGAATTTCTTTCTTCATCAAGCTACGAGGCTATCAGGGTTTATTTTCTTATGTGCGATCAGAGCCAGGTTTTTTGCAATTGTGCTCCAATCGAGTCCTTCTCCAATGATTATGGTTTAGGGTTTCAATTTATGGCTATCTAGAGTCTCTCTCCTTCAGAATTAAGGACCTCCATCTGTTACTAGTGTTATAAGTTCTGTCATCACTTCTTGGACTTTCTTACAAAGACTTGACTTTCATCTGAAGCTTTCTCTTAAGTGATGAGCATTTGGTTCTATCCAAAATAGTGTGGGCTTTACCATATATACTTTTGTGAATCATATGCTCCTATTTTGTGGGATAAGGGTTTCGACAAGAGTATTGATTCGATTGAGGTTTTATTAAAACTATCTTTCAGAATCCAAAGGTAAATTCATTGTTGAAGCACCCATAGGTTGATTATGGCATTGATATGGTGGAATCATATATTCCTTACTTCATCAATTAGAGTTCTGTGTATCATGTTTCAAAGTTTCTTTTCTAGTTAACTTTGGGCTTAGGAGGTAAAGCATTCTGGAGTTGAGATTTAATTCTGAGTCTATGAGTTCGTTGATCAAGCACGCCATTTGAAGTTACCTGAGATTCAACTTGTCATGAACGTTCGAGTTTCATATGAGGATTGATTTAAGATAAACATGGAATAAAAGGTTTTAATACAGTTCGATAGTAATTCACTTAACTTTCTTGGAGTACTGATTAAAAGTGGTATTTTATTGATTGAGGTTAAGGTGTTCACATCCAGTAAAAGCTCGTTTCTTCTGATTCTTTTAGTTACTTCTACAAGAAATGAAGTGTGGATTAAAGTTTTATTATGGTGTTCTATACATCAAGTCTTGGGTTTCCTCAAGGACATCAAATTTGTTATGAGGTCAGTGGTTTTCAAGTTAATATGACTGGTGGACGGAATTGCAAGATAATTTGATTATGGAGAATTGAAGTCAGGGGTTGAGGATTTATCAAGAGAATCAAAATTTCTTAAAGTGCAAGAAATAATTCATGGCTCATTTCAAATGCAAGAACAAGATATATGCAAGAGATGTTACAAGACTTGTGGATAATTTTCCTGGTTTTCATGTACTCATAATACAAGTGATTCATCAGTTCGCTTTGCTTAAAATTTGGAATATGTTTGAGGTACAAAAAGAAGATTTTGAACTTGTGTGTAAGGAAGAGATCGTGATTCATTCAAGATACATTTTGAGAAGATGTAAGCACAAGAGAAGAAATTCAAATACAAGTGAATTAATTCAAGGTATTTTTTCTTGATTCAACCGTGGCTATTACAAAATCAAGAACTAGAACATATACACTTTCAACCATTCAAAATTCCATAAAAAGTAACAATTTCAAACCAACTCATGAATATATTACATCAAAGGCCATAAACCAAAAGTCAAGATCCATCCAAATCTTTCAAAGAACATTCAAGTTCCAAAATACATTGCAAGTCATTTATAAGATTTACATGGAAATATAGTCCTAAGCCTAATCTTCTAAATCAATACAGACCCAAACAGATGGTGCATTAACAATAATGGATCCAATCAACATCAAACTGTGCACCTGCTACTGAACTAGGCACTATACCAGGCTTACATAACACACAAAACCTGTTGCACCAGTCACAAGAATCCATGTTCACATTACAAAAGCGATTTCAAACAGCCACGAGCTATCGCGTATGCCTTAAATGAAACCTTTCATCACCACTTTAACAGCTTAAAACATACAACCTGCAAAACATATGCAAAAAAGAAGCGGCAACTCGTTAACATCATCACCATGCTTAAGTCCACAGAAAAATCAAAAGAACAAACTGCTAACCAAAATCAAAAGCTCAGATTCATAACAGAGTATTTACCCTAGATGCTTATGCTAACAGAAGAAAATCATAACAAATAAATAGCCCAACTTCACATAAATATTAGATCAATCCACAATGTCCAAGCTATGTTTTCAAAACTAACTTACCAGATCACTCCCTAACAGAGTCCAACAAAACCTCACAGCATAACATAATCTACAACTATCCTCTATTCCATAACCCCTATCTTAAATGTCAAAACAAAATTCTATAACAGAATTCGCAGACAGAACCACAATAAGAAACTAGCAGCTCAAAATAGAATTTCTAACTAACTCCTCAAACTCTCAACCAATTCCATAACTAACTTCAGAAACATCTAACCAACATATAACCAACTTCCAAAACAAGAACTAACTCCTGTAACAAACCTCATAACAAACTTGAACAAAATTCCCAACCGAATTCTAACTCCCTCTAACTTCCTAATTCCTAACGGTCTAATAAAAACTTCTTAACAGAAACCAGAAAAGAGCTTACTCTCATAACAGATCAATCCAAAGCCTTCATGCTTGTAACTAACTATTGATATCTAAGGCCTAGATTTATTCAGCTCATACTAACATCCTAACCATAACAGAATTATATAACAGAAAAACTCACCTTTGATGAGGATCTTTTTCAAAAAACTCTACATAATAAAAAATACTCACCAGAAAAATTCTCTAAAATTCTCTCTTCTTACTCTCCCTGCATTCACTCTCCCAATATTCAGTCTGCATCACCTTCATTGTTCTTCAACCTCTCTTAAGCTTCTGCAACAAAGGCTACCATCAACATCTTCGACACTTCATCACCTGCATCAGATCGCGACCCTCAATCTTCATCACTGCATCGCTGCAAGCATCATCATCATAAACCTATAACAACAACCACACTAAACATGCAACAACAAATCATAATTTCTACCCTACATAAAGAGTGGAAGAAGAGGAATTTGCGCAAAGGAAAGAAGAGCGTGATATTACCTGCAAATTCGAGATCCTCTAGGTTTATCTTCATGACGTCGCTATTGAAGAACCACCAGAGTGTCTCTGGTAGGTAAGCTGAATCGTTCGCCACTCTCCTTCATATGTTCTCTATACCATAACATATAGTGGACCTCCATGACCAATTTCCTTAAGGTCTCTTGACTCAATTCGCCTTCGTTGAGATTTAATCACAGATTCAGTAAACCTAGAGCGTCTTTTCTAAACTCCTGATCTCTCCATTTGACGAAGCTTCTGTGAAATACAGGGATAGATTCGAGCTCTGAGCGTTAACCTAGGTTGGGTTTCTGTTGATTTTCTTCTGAGATGAAATAGAGAGGTTGGACAATGGTGGTCCTGTGGCTGCAAGCGACGCTGAATAAGAGTGGAGGGAGAAATTTCTTGAGAGAAGAAGAATGTGTGCATTGGAACTGAACAATCATAAGACCTAGTGTGATAAAAATGCACAGTTTAGGGCCATTATTTTCATTTTTTTGATAATATTTGGGTCGTACAAAAATTTAACCGTGGATTTCATTGTTTGCTAATGGACTAAATTGTCCTGCTAAAATTAGGTACATTACACTATTTTTGGGGAGCTTGATCATTTGTAGCAAAAATAACATCATGGACTCATAGTTGGGCCTTTAGTGCCTAAACTTTACTTCACCATAGACCTTGATCTGGACTGCACCCCCAGGCCCATAACAACTGTTTTTTTTTGCAGCCTGATAGCTTGTTTTACAAAAACAGACTAATGGATTTTGTTTGGTTGGGCCTAGCGCCCATATTGCTTCTACACCCTTGGGTTTTGCCTTGCACTCCTTAAGTATACTCTTTTAGTATTTTCTTTTAAATAATTTTGATAGTTGTTTAGTTTTGTTTGAACCTTTTTTTATATGATAAAAACAATAAAATCAATAAAAACTTGTAGATTTTTTTAAATTTTAATTTAGGAAATTAAATTCCGATTATCCGATTATATTTGAGATTGGTAATTCACCTTTGCTTGTTGAGATGTGAATCTTATACATGTTTATTGTATGATATGCGGATGCGTTTGAGATTTCGATTGTGATTTATTTTGACATTGATGATGCGTCAATACGTATTCCGAGCATTTGATTTCTAGCTCTTTTCTTTGATTGGTGAAGCTTTCGCGAAGATCGTCGGGTTTCTTTGTTTCGATACACTTCACTACGGATTGATATCCGTTAGGTATTTTTCCTTTGTTTATCTCATTTAAGCATTTATCGCTTTCTAGAAATCATGTGAAGTGAGAAGTAGGAAATAAAGAGCGTGCACTCGAAGTCATTGTTTAAAGACCTGTAGTAGGAAATCCCCACTTCATTTGCTATGTGTGTTGTACTTGTGTTTGTTCCCTTGGTTGTTGATTGATGAGTCACTCAATTTAGAAATTTGAGATCACGACTTCTCTCTCAGTGCACACTCCCTATAGGATTTTATCGCTTTCCTTTATTTCTTGTTGATCGATGAGTCACTCAATTTAGAAATTGAGATCACGACTTCGCTCTTATTGCATATTCCCTGTAGGATAGTTTTGTTAGACTTTCTTTGGAACACTAACCTAGATAGGATACCTCTAGGTGTGTTCTCTTGAGATTTTTGGCTTGCTTTCTTGATTTCGTCTTTGTGTGCATATTTTGAGATGATATACCCTTGGCATGTTCCCTTAGGAGATCTCGATTCAACTATCGATGATGATTCGAGATAGACATAGTTTTAGGTGATAGACCCTTGCTATGCTCCTTTAGGACTTCTTGATTCATCTATAGATGATGAGTTGAGATAGACATTAGGATTGTTATCCAAGCATGTCAATTTAGGATTGAGATTTCCCTTTGAAACTCAACCATAGGACCACCATTGTATGATAACATTAGGGATAGATTTAGGCTAGTCCCCCTTAGGTGTTCTTCTTTCCTTTGAATTTTTATTAAAACAAAAAATTCTTTTTCTTGCAAACTTCAAAACACTTAAAGATCATTGATGAGAGTCATACTTCTGTTGAGCATGGGAAATGATAAAGCGGGTCTCTTCTCGACATTATTGTTCTTCCATTCTAAGCCTTGGTGTGGTTCAAGTCTCAAAGACTTATTTCATAAATAAGTGGAGAAGTGGCTAAAATTTCTCTCTTGAGATCAACTACCCGTATCCATAGAGAAAACACCAACCAACACAAACTCCTTTTGTGCTAACGCGTAAGTCTCCAAAGGTCGAGTTGCGACAGAAGGCGAAATTAATCGTGTTCATTAAGAAATACAAACCAACAAAAACATTTGAAGCTGAAATACGACTGCTCTGATTCCTTAAAAGGGATACGTAGGCATTGGGGTAGGGCCCGAACGAGCACAACTTTTTATTTTCCCTACATCCTTTTCTCATTTCTTTTGCATGCATTCCATGTACAACTTAGATATAGATTCTTACACACCCTTTGATTAGAACAACAAGAGTGGACACCATAGATTACTACGAGCGTGTGGGGTGCTAATACCTCCCCCTTGCGTAACAGCATCCCTTTGGTATCTCTTGGTCGTTCAATCTTGATTGCACCTTTCTCAGGTTTACTCGATGTTTACCTTTCCCTTCCTGTGGGATAAAAAATGTTCGATTGCGACTTCATTGATTTAATTATCAATTGATTTTTCAGCCGGTTGTTTTAACCTCCATTAATCATATTAATCAAAGCTATTACACAACTTTACAGAAAACTCCCACATAATATTAATCATATACTCAATTATAGAGTCAGAACCCCACCCTTACCTTGAATCAAAGGTTGCTCTATAATTTTCCGATCGAACCTAGCCTTTTGCCTCTTCTCCTTATTCCTCTTCTCTGCAACTTCTCACGCACAACACTTTCTCTACTCTTTCTCTTAACCCTTTTTAATTAACCTAATTTCTATTATTTAACTAAACTCAATATTATTATTATTTCTATTGGGCCTAATATTCACACCCCCTTAATACTATGTTTATCACCAAAACAAGCCCAACAACTAATATTATTAATATTCTACAATTCTAATATTATTACCAATATTATTAATCAGCTAATTTAACTGACTAATAACAACACCACAACTTATGTCAACAACTCTCAACATAACACAACATGTCAACAGTTTCAACAAATAATTTGCAATTAATCGAAAATAATTAATTAAATAAATGGGTGTTACATTCTTCGAAAGGTATCAAAGGAGACAACGACATCAAGGTTATGGGTGAAACTTGAAAGTTTGTACATGACCAAATCACTGGTAAATAGACTCTACCTGAAGCAAGCTTTATATTCATTCAAAATGATTTAAGACAAAGTGTATGTTGAGCAGTTGAATATGTTCAACAAGCTGATTCTTAATCTTGAAAAAGATCGATGATAAAGATCAAGCACTGTTGCTGTTGTGTGCTTTACCCAGATCACATGCTCACTTCAAAGAAACTCTTTTGTATGGAAGAGAGTCCCTGACCTTTGAAGAAGTTCAATCAACTCTATATTCTAAGGACTTGAACGAATGAAAGGAGCATAAACCTCCGAAGGTTGGTGAAGGTTTGGTCGTTAAAGGAAAATTCTTGCAAAAGGATGGTAAGTTTGACAAGAATAAAGGTAAAGTTCAGCAGAAGTCTTACAGTGGTGAAGCATCTGGTATTCGATGCTTTTATTGTAAGAAGAAGGGTTACACAAGAAAGGTGTGTCATGAAAGCCTGAAAGATCATGGAGGTAAGGATAATGGTAATGCAACCGTTGTTCAAGATGATTTCGACTCATATGATGTTCTTGTGGTTTCAAGAAGCGACTCAAGAAAGAGTGGATTATGGATTTAGGTTGCACGTGGCACATGACTCCAAACAAAGACTTGTTCAAAGAATTATTTGATCAAGATGGTGGATCTGTATTGCTGAAAAACAACAAAGCTTGCAAGATTGCAAGTGTTGGATCTATGAGATTCAAGCTCCATGATGAGTCAATAAAGTTGTTGACTAAAGTTAGGTATATATATGATTTGAATAGAAATTTGATTTCTCTTGGTGAATTCGACAATAAAGGATATGTTTTCCAAGGAGAGAAAAGTATCCTAGGAGTCATGAAGGGATCGAAGGAAGTCTTGAGAGGCGTGAAGAAATAAGGCATGTATATCCTTGAGGATAAAGTTGTAAGTGGTTCGAAAAATGTTGCATCCACGAAAACTTTGTCGAAGAAAAATTTGGTACATGAGATTGGGCCATGTCAATGAAAGGGGTCTGGTAGAATTGGGGAAACAAAATTTTCTTGGTGGAGAAAAATTCGAAAAGCTGAAGTTTTGTGAACCATACGTACTTGGAAAATCTTGCAGAGTGAAGTTCAACAAAGGCAAACAAAAAACATATGGATATGTTAATTACATCCATGCTGATATTTGGGGGCCTACAAGGTGTCTGTCACATTCAGGAACAAGGTATTCTCTATCCATAGTAGATGATTATTCCAGAAATTTATGGGTATTCATATAAAAGACTAAAGATGAAACTTTTGAGAATTTCAAAAGTTGGAAGACTCTGGTCGAAAATCAAATTGGAAGAAAGGTCAAGAGGTTGTGAACCGACAATGGCCTTGAATTTTGCAATGAGGCTTTCAAAAAATTTTGTGTTGCCTATAGTATTGCAAGGAACAGAACTACTGCAGGCACTCCATAACAAAATGGTTTGGAAGAAATATTTAATCGAACTATTTTAGAAAGAGATAGATGCATGTTAACTAGTGTTTGGTTAAAGAAGGTGTTTTAGGCTGAGGCTGTTTCGACATCAACATATTTGATAAACATATGTCCTTCGACTATGTTAGATATGAAGACACCTGAAGAATTTTGGTCGGGACATCTACCAGATCTCGAAAAAAACTGAGAGTATTTGGTTGTGTAGCCTAGGTTCACATTAGGCAAGACAAGGGCAAACCTAGAGCTCTGAAATGCATGTTCATGGGATATCTTGAAGGAGTCAAAGCTTATAGGCTATGGTGCCTAGAGCCAGGTCATATAAGGAGTATCACCAGTCAAGATGTAGTTTTCAATGAAGCTGAAATGGATTTCAAGAAAACTGATGATGTTGGTCGAAGTGCAGAAATATCTGACAAAGAGCTAGAACAGGTAGAGATTCTTGTTGAGGTGGAGCATGTTGATGTTGAATTGTGTATCCCTGATGAAGTCAAAGAAGAAGCAGAAGATGCTGAGGAAATTGAGGAAATAGTGGATAACTACCTATTGGTAAGAGATGGATCGAGGTGAATCATTAAGCCACCTCAGATACTTGGGTATGCAGATCGTATAGCTTATGCCTTAAACTCTGCAAGTGAGTTTCTAGACAAAGAACCTAGAGACCATAAGGAAGTTATGAGGAGTCGAAATAAGACTAAATGGCTGA